CACGTTCTTAGAAAACCAGGGAAAGAGAGGAAATATCCCCAGTTTTGTGCAGTTACTAAAATTGTAATAAAATAGTATCATTATATAAACTCTAAATCGAGGTCATTTTCCACATTGCTGCAGTGAGGTGAAGTGTAATCGGTGGTTCAAGTTTGTTTGAGTTTCAGCTCCATCTTTTGTTGCTTTAGTGTGGCATGAGGAAACTTTAATGCCCGTGGTTCTGCAGTGGTGAATCGATAATGAATATGAGCCTTGTGAATTCTGATCCTGCTCTGTGACATTTACATTTAAAGTGCTTAATCACTGATTTGTGAGGGTTTATGTCTAGGTTGCGGAGCTGTTTTTTTTTTCTCATGTAAGAATGCCTTTTCTGCCTGTCTTAAATTTCAACATAAATGAAGATAAACATCGGCATTTCATGCCGCATATTTCATACATAAAAAGATCACTTTCAGATGGCGGTGTATTAAAATCAGAGTTCATGGAGCTCAAGGAAAGAGCATCCATGAACTTTTCCATGACATTCTAATTTATTGAGATGCACCTGTATGTAGGCATTTTTCACTTTGATTGTGTGTTTACTTCAGTGCAAAAGGAGGTCTGATTCGACTCGAATTTAAACCAAAAATCACCTTTTCCATGAATAAATATGTTTGCATAATCCACCAACACCAAACCGAGAGGAAATTTAGCATTGTCAGGCCTGATAACCACAGCAAAGAACACAAAATATTTGCGTTTTCGCTGGAACCACTTACAGACAAAGACTGTCAGTTCTTTCAACAAGCAAAGCTGTTTTTTCCTGCGGAGGGAAGACAAATGCATTCAGCTCGTCAACTGGTGATCACATCACAGAGCAATTTTGACATGTTCAAAAATCTTTGAAAAATCAGTGTAGTGTAGTCAGAAACAGATGCAGCATGTTACGTTTGCTTCCATCAGTAAATTGTATTATGCTGAGATTTGATTTTTGTCCTTTGTTATTCTGGGGTGGTCTTGGTAACGGCCGCCGTGCTTCGTATGTCTCAGCAGGGGTCTGACAGCTCTATGATAGAAATGTCTTCCGTTTGGACTGAAGGAAAACAGTTGGGATCTGCAGGGTGGCAGGATTTGAGGTTAACGTATCCATTTGCTTGAGCTTAAAGAAAACACAAGTAAGATGAAATGCACCCTCTGTTGTGAATTGAAGGGGCCATTTTCTACACTTTTGACTACATGTAGTGCACCAAAAAGTCATAATTTAATATTTCACAACCATTTTCTACACTATCTCTGACCCTTTTAACACTGACAGCAGTTTGCAGCTGACAGAAATCATTCATTTACAATGAGAGTTGGCGATTTGAGGCAGCATGAGCTTTTTTTAGATGGCGTGTCAAGTAAAAAGTACATCAGCTTTGAAAAATGCGTCTAGAGATCCCTAAATTTGAATGCAGGAACCTGTCCTGTGTGAACGGCTCCTTCAAGCTTGAATTTCTTATGGATATGATTCATATTTTATTAAATCACACTGACTTGTTAAATTGACAGCCCTTGTTTATTTGTACTTGTGAGTGGTTATGTGCTCATGGTTGTCAAACTTAATACAGTGTCAGTTACAGATTGATCCATTTTTGCAGCTTATACGTCTATATAGTTCATCGAACTTTTGAATGTATTTATTTTTGAAACAGCAAGGAAAATTCTTTTTCATGATGTGTTCTATTAAAGTGGTATAAAATAATACACAAATAATACATTTTGCGGTGTATATAACTTTTATTAGGGATGCACAATATATTGTTACCATGTCAGTTGGCTGATATTATAAATGTTTAATTTATTCATTTTCAGTCGATATTTAATTGTTCTTGCTCATTTCCCTTTTTTCACATTTATACTGCTGTTGTCATCATCTTACAGTCATTTAAAGTTACATTTAAATTTAAACTAATAATTTAATCATTAAATCATTACATTGTTAAATGTAAACTTTAGCAACTCTCAAAATTAACTCTCAACTCTCACAATGTTGTGATGCTTAAATTCGCTTAAAGCATTTTAAGATTTCCTTCTTTTTAATTTAAACATAATAGTGTAAAACTTTATTATCAGCCATTTATCGGTTACAGTCCTTTTTTGTCTTTGCATCTCTAATTTCTATCATTATGGACAGACAAAGTCCTCGTCTGCATTTGTCAAACAACATAATACACTTAGAAAGATAATGCATGAATTTGAAATTATGATTTTCATCTCCTTTTTTAGTCGCATTATCTTGCTGAAAACAAACTTTGGAAAGCCCAGCATGGGCTCACGGGAAGATATTGGGTTGGTGCGAGTGAAGTGGAGGTTTGTTCGAGCGAAAGGGAACAACAGTGTCTGGATTCAAAGCTTCCGACGGCCTTAGAAACTCAAGGGCGGCCCAAAGTCACTCCATCTCTGCAGTGCAAGTGTAAAGGAGCCCTGGGATTCAAACCCGCCAATGAGAAGCATCAAACCAGCACAGAAACCCGCAACGCCTCAGCATGTAATCAGGTCGACCACCTCTAACCTTTATCTAAACAGTGTGGGGTGAGTTCACTAACCAATCACAATCCGGTTTAACCAGGAAAGAATGCCAGATTGCCCTCCTGTGTCTTCGATCAGACACAATTAGGTAAATATATCCGAGACAAAAGGATTAAACAAGTCTGTAGAAATAACTAAACATACAGACAGTCTGATGAACGCAGTTCATCTTATATGGTCAGAGAGTGTGTGTGTGGTCATCATAATTCACAGACTCTGGTAAATTGCTTGGTTCGATGCGCAGCACAATGTAAACACCGAAGGCCTAGTGTGTGTTTTTCACCAAACAGTGATGAGTGAGTTTTTGTTTTGATAAATTAAAGCATCTGATTATCAGATTACGATATTTCCCTCAGTCAGATCCCATATGTTAGTAGCTAATGAAAAGGCAGAGATCACATTGACTTTTGTTGCATCTGTGACGGATGGCTGATTGAGGCCTAATCTCAGTGTGTTAATGGATATGTGTTGATCCACAGATCAGGTGCTTTTGCTCTCACATGGTTTTTTTTTTTTTCCTGACTAGGAAGCCTTTTTTGATCTATCTGTCTGTCTGTGTGTGCAAAGGTGTCTTACAAACTGTGGTGTGGTCAATTGGAGTTTTGCATGGATGTCTCAGCCTGATGGAAATGTCAAGCTTTGTACACTTAGCGTGAGGAGAGAGGGGTCTGCAAAATACCTTCTATCTGCAGTGGTGTTATTTGTGAGGTAAATTTTCTACTTCAGAACAAGACTTTGTCTCTGAATAGAGCTAAAATGTCAGTCTGCTAAATGCCAGAGCATTCTTTCCTCAAGAGGATGAAGGTATAGGAGCTTTTAAGTGCTGTGTTTCAGCATTGGCCTTGGTTTGACTGAGAATGTACTATAAAATACTGAATAATTGTTTGTTATGCTCAGTTATGTTTTTATGATAGCGTTCATATATTTGGATATGCTCTTGTCACATACACTTTTTGTTTTCTATCAGGGTCTTCGTTTTCTATTGATTACTTGGTTTTTTACAAAGTTTTATTTATTTATTTTATTTTTGAACCCTCACAGAAATCTTACTGCATTTTTAGTTTCTCAGTAAGACATTATTTAGTATTTATCAAAGGAATATTCCATCCAAAAATTAACATTTTGTTTCAGATCCATATAACAGACATTATTCTGCGGGACACTGAAGTATAAAAAAAATAAATGACTGAGGTTGCCAAGCTCCACAATAGCAAACATGTACCATAAAAATTCTCCATTACTTAAGTAGGTTCATGAAAGTAATAGTGTCGTTCTTTTGAGTTCATTTCAAATTAATCTGTTGATTCATGTTAACCAACCAGGGGCCGCATTCCCAAAATATTCTTCTTAACAGCTAATTTTGTTCTATTTTCTAACTCAAGAATAAAATTATGATTTTGTATATAGCATTTTTTGAGGGGCCATTCACACGGAATGTGTTTTTTCTTTCCTCTGCTCTACTTTTCAGACTATTGTTTGCAAATTATTATTATCTGCACACATTGCAAAAAGACAGACTTTGAGGTTATTTTCATTGAGTTGATCAGCAGGTCTTTGGCAAAAACCACCATATTTAAGAACTCCATAAGAATTTGTCAAAAATTGCTCTTACTGTTGGAACACTCTTACAAATGTATTGCCATTTCTTAACGTCTTTAAGAAGATTTTCCTGAATTCAGCCCCTGGTCTGAATGATTAATTCAGGTATGAAAATGATCGAGTTCTCAAGTTCATTGACTCAATGATCCGGACACAGCAGTTAGCATCTTGCTGAAGGGATGAATAATGACTTTGAAATTTCATTCAGTTTCTCACATAAAGCAGTTGTATGACCTCAGAAGACTTTGAATTGAGTGCACAAGTTGTATGAATTAGTTTTATGATACTTTTTGTGTCCTTTTTGCAGCTTGATAGTCTCCATTCATCTCAAGTCAAGTAGGCTTTTATTATCATTTCAACCATATACAGTACAGTGAAACGAGACAACGTTCCTCCAGAACCAACGTGCAATGCAGAACAACATAAATTAAAATAACAAAATAGATCACATCAGACCAGTACGATTCTTCAAGTTCAATATATCTTCTTTTGTTTTTCACAGAGGAAAGTCATACAGGTTTGCCATTGACTCGTCCCCTCAATCTAAGCAATTTCGGTTTTACTATTGTAGGCAAAACATTATCCCCACATATGCTCATTTTCATCACATTGGCAAGCAAAACCACACATATGCCCTCTCACACACTCTCCTGAACAAAGGGCATGTATGTTTACATTTTGAGTAAAAAATGTATGAACAAAAGGGCAGTTTCAGCTTCAGACAGGCCTTGCGGTTTCATATGCGCGATCACGCAAGCAAATATCAAACTGTCAATCTCAGTTTCCATGGAAACGATCATTTCTCATTTGTGTGTCACTCAAACTTCATCTCTCTTTCTCTAATTCTACAGGTTTGGAGATGAGAGGGGCTACATACTCTACCCTCAAATAGGGGATCGTTTGGACCTCGTTTGTCCTGCCACGAGTCCATCAGGGCCGAACTCTCCTCCTGAGTATGAGTATTATAAACTGTACCTGGTGTCCTCACGAGAGCGGGCCGACAGGTGTGAGGTGATGGGCGCCCCGAACCTGTTGCTCACCTGTGACAAACCCAACAGCGATATGAGGTTTACCATCAAGTTCCAGGAGTATTCGCCCAACCTGTGGGGTCACGAATTCAAGAACTTACGAGACTATTACATCATAGGTAAGTGTGTGTTAAGTTAACCAATATCGCAATATAGTACAGTTTTGGACAACAGCATTTATTTCTGGGAATCATTTCCGTATTTTGGGTCCTCTCCATCTAGCTATGCAGAAGTTAGCAGCACGTGTTCGAGGCATAATGTTCCTTGGTGCTTAAGTTGATAAGAGGTTCAAGCCCGGTCATGTTTCATAATCTTAATTTTCACTTTCTTGGGGTTTTTTTGTGCTCTATTATAACTGTTCTTAAACTATCAGCGCACAAGCCAAATTCATCCCACATGTTGTAATCTTGTGCACTCGTTAAATGCTACGAATAATTTATCAACTCATCCAACCCACAAATCAAAATTTTTAATAAAATCATGGCCATGTTGTACTAATTTGTTCCCTCATTTTAGTACAATCGTTACCATGTTTTAACTAAATTTAAATGAGGGAACAAATTACTATAAAGTACTCATAAATTAACAAAAACAAGGGAAAGGAATGGTAAATGTGGCCACAAAATCACTGAAATGAGGGAACAAATAAATAAAAAGTGGCCATGAATTAATTAGTCATGGGAACAAATATCACATGCAATAATTTTATCTTGTAGTTTTGTAGGATTTTTATAGCACACAACCTTTCCCAAACTTTTTGTAAAAGATTATAGGTCCCACCTTATATCAAGTGGCCTTAACTACCATGTACGTTCATCAAAAAATAAGTACAGTGTACTTATTGTGTTCATATTGTATTGCAAAACAATTTTGCTGCTATTGAGGTGGGATGGGGTAAGGTTAGAGACAGGTTTGGAGGTAGGTTTAAGGGTGGGTTTAGGTGTAAGGGATGGGTCAACAGTGTATTTATAAATGTAGTTACAGAAATTAATTACAGATGTAACTATATGCAGGTATTTTTTTAAATATAAGTACAATGTAAATAATAATTTATGTATTTATATGTAAGTAAATAGTAGTTAAGGCCACTTATTATAAGGTGGGGCCTGACTTTATACTATATAAAGTAAAAGCCGTCAGTTAGTATGAATTTGAGACCCCTGATTCATATGATTAAATATTAAAAATAGAGTTTAAAGCCCCAAAATTAAGATTGCAAATAAAGTGATCATTTCCGCTATAAAAATGATTTGAATGGACAAACATTTTTAGGGAATATTTGCTAATTACCCAAGTGCAATAATACCGTGCGTCAGCCGCAGGGGTTCTGTCCCGTCAAATTTACCTCATAGTTGCTCCACCAAAAGATTAATCCATCGATAAAACACAGAATATGTGTGCGTGTTACTGTTTGTTCCCTAGGGAAATCACTTTTAATTAACCTAAGTTGGCAGTTGTTAATTTCTACAATATTCCTGTAATGAGAAAGAGAAAGACAGAGCATTGGGTGCTGTGCGGTTTTGCACACGCTTGTGATTATGTGGATCTTAATTGGCTGTAATGGGCCTGCGAGACTCAAGGGCATTTAAGAGCAGCTAGACACAACAGCCCGACCAATGGCAAACACACTCACGCACATACACACTGTGCGTTTCCCTTCCCAAATATCCACGTATGGTGTCTGCACTGTCATAAATCACGGATGTAAACCGTTTATGTGTTTTAATATAGGATAAAAGCACCGCTTATTAGTGTAGGTTTTTGTGGTTTCGTCCTGTTGTGTGAGGCTGCGAGTGATTCTTTTAGCTGGTGCTTGTTTCCCCTGTGATCTGCACTGTTTGAAGCTGAGATCTTCTCCCTTCTGAGTGTGTATCAGAGTGTATCAAACGCTCCGAGCTCTTTTGTCAAAACTTTGATCACTGTGGGCGCTAACTGAGTTCCCAGGGGAGCACTTTACCCTAAAAAGCGTTCAAAAAACCCACTGCATTAGAATCCCTCTCCAAAACCTCCCCTTTACCATCATATTCTCCAAAGCATATTCTCACATAGTCAATCATTCACAATAGTAGTGTGAGCGCTTGCCTCGTTGCATTACTGTCTGAGTTAATGGTAAAATTAAAAGTGTACTACCGTGGACTTACTGTACATGTACGGCTTTGTTTGCCTGTTCTACAGCTACTCGTTGATATTTCGACTTTGGAGCATCAGAGTTTGCATGCGTGTGCGTGTGCGCGTGTGTGTGTGTGTGTGTGTGTGTGTGTTTGTCACACTGGATTAGACTTGTGGTAAGGGGCTGTTAATTATTGAAAAGGTCTTGTTGGTTTATTTATCAAGGTTAAACTGAAATATTAGAGATGAACCTTACTCCCACCCTAACCGGTGTGTGTGTGTGTGTGTGTGTGTGTGTGTGTGTGTGTGTGTGTGC